AACTACTCAAGCTGCGACATTGGCTAGTTCAAAATGCCAAACAGTTTGATGGTATCTCTGTTTTAACAGCAAAATACTTAGGTTAAGTTAATTAGAAAAGGTCAGTGGGTGTATATAATGGTCCATGAGAATTCATTACCTCTTGTGTTCCGTTTGTAAGGACTCTTTTTTTCTAACTTAAGTATTCACAAGAATAGGATTGATTGCTTGTAAGATGTTTAACGCCTGCATCGACACGATTTATGTATTTAGCAAGTGGACTGCTTCGACCCTGTCTGTCAGGACCAACCACAGATTTTTACATTCACTCATGAGTGTAGAATTCTGTGGGGCCAACCAAGGCTGAGCGAGAAATTCCAGTGGACAGGATGAAATATATTCCCCTCTCGGGAATCAAACGCACTGCTTTATGGTGGTGGGGTTTTTTTTTTCAGTAAGCATTTTACGGTACATGTATTATGGCAACACGGCAAGGTCATAAGTGCTGAAGATTAGAGGTGTTACATGAGAGTTACAAACGCACAAAAAAGAAAGAGGAGAGATAGGGTGAATGATAGATGTTTGATAGGAAAGAATTAAGGAGTCAACCACATCAGAGCGCCCGCCAACTACCCACGCACGGCCCCAACGTACAACAGCCAAAGGCTTCGTCATGCATGATAACTAGACACTACAGACACCCGAACAATAGGAGATAAGAGAATTTACTGGTCCATTGACCCATCCCTTCACTGGACTACTGATTTCGCGATGACACTAAATATAGGCCTCTATACATTCACGGGTTTATGAGATTAACTTTGATTAATTAAGAGGAGTGGCTGGGGTTGTTTTTTTCATTTATTAGGATAGATCTAGATCTACATCAAAGCGCAACGTCAATGCAAATGGATTTCCGACAGGTTTTCATTAATAAATGAAGGTAAGGTGTCGTGGATTAGATTTCTGCGATGCATATAGCGTGAAGAAGAATGTATTATTTTTTTATTTTTTTTTAATTATAATATTAACGTGGCGTAGTGCATGTTGTACCAGCTGGTTTATGTTGGTGCCACTGGTAGACAGGGCAGAACTTTATGAAACCGATAAAACTCGTACACGTTATGCGATTGGACAAAGAGGAATGAGGAATTTGTTTACAAGAAAGTATTTTGTGTTCCATCAGCTATCAGAGATCGTGGGAAAGGATCTTTGTTTCTTTTTGTTTTTTTTTTTTTTTTTTTTTTTTGCTAAGGTCCTCGGTGCTTTCTCGTTTTGGTTTTGGGGAACAGTTGACGAGTAGACGTGCTATTCATATTATCGTACTTGTACGAGGGCTGTCCCACGGAAAACCGGAAAAGGTCCATAAAAGCAACAATCTTTGTCCGATTATAATAAAAATGTAACACATCATACCTCAACATGTGCTTTATTTCTCAATGTAATCACCATCCCGCTGGACGCATTTTTTCCATCGCTGGATGTGGGAGAAGATACAGTCCCTGAAGAATTTTTCGTCAAGGGATTTCAACCAATCTTTCACGGCTTCCACCAGGTCTTCGTCGTCGGTGAATCGCTGTCGAGAAATATGGTGTTTTATTGGTCCAAAAAGGTGATAATCTGACGGGGCCAAGTCAGGACTGTGAGGTGGGTGTGGCAGAACTTCCCAGCCGAACCTTTGGATCCAGTCTTTCGTAGCGTTTGCGGTGTGTGGCGTTGCGTTGTCATGCTGCAAAATGTCTGAGACACTTCAACACGACGCGTCTTGTGGTCAGCTGTCAGCTCTTTTGGGACCCATCGAGCAGAGACCTTTCGATAGTGCAGCTCATCAAACACTATCCTATGGACAGTTGACTTTGAAATGTTTAGCGACTCGGAAATTTCGCGAATTTTTAGGCGCCTGTCTGTTTGAATGAGTTCGTTAACGCTACTCTTGTTGTCCTCAGTCTTGGCAGAAGAACAAGGTCCTGGGTGAACTTTGTCATTGATATCCGTATGCCCGGCTTTGAACTTACTACTCCACTCATATACCTGTGTCTTTGCCATTACTTTCTCCCCGTAAACTGACTTTATTTCAGCGTGTATTTCTATAGGTTTGAGACCTTTTGCGGTCAGAAACCGAATGACAGATCTCACTTCTATCCTTGACCAATTTTCCAAGTGGGTAGCCATCTTTGGAGAACTGCTGTGTTCGTTTGGTTTGTGCGATGCTCATGGTGTTCAATCGGGAAATTCCAATACGATTGTTTTACAAGTGTGCGTTTACAGAATGTGAAAATATTGAATAGTTTTCAAATTACAGCCAAATTCCGGTTTTCCGTGGGACAGCCCTCGTACATGATGTATCACAGCAAGATGCTGGCACCGAAAATCCTACTATAGGACCTTTGCTAGCACTCTACTATGATGTTATTGTACTCTCGAACGTTGCTGTATTTTATGCACTCGTGGTTTTTTTTGTTGTTGTTGTTTGTTTGAATAATGAGATTTATTGCTGAGAAAAAGTGAGACAGACAGACAAAAACAACAGAGGGAAAGTAAAGAAGTAGGACCTATAAGTGGCGCCCTCCAACCACCGGCACAGATATAATTATGTGATGCACGTGGATTTATTAGTTTCATGGACATGTAATTTCAACTATTACGTTTGCCGTCTTCCCCCACCCAAACATATTATTCTTCCGCTGCGTCCCCTCAGTAGGTTGCTTATAGGGGGCCTACACTTTACCTGCGTTTATGCTGTTATCTAGGCTTTCTTACTTCTAGACAGCCTATGCTATAGGTAATGGTACATTACATTGTAAAAAATATAGGCTTTTCACGGTTGCCTGCAGAAAGCGTGGGCTCAATTCCCTTGAAGGGTAATCGTATTGAACATTTTCGTCTGTCTGTGAAATGTTCACTCCCTAAAGAAACTTATTGTTTTAGGTAGCCTACCGGTACGGTAAGTTATATATCATAATAAGGTGTGTTGACTACGCTCTCCGAATAACATTTTAAGTGGAACTGACTTTTTGCCCAGGCCTATAGAACAATGTACATGATGTATGACCAATTTTCTTTCCAGAATTCTATGTTACTATTGTTACTGATCGTCCTAACTGCTGTTTTCTAAACAAACAAACAAACAAACAACTCCCCTTCCCAAACAACCCCCCCCCCCCAACAAAACAACCCCAACAAACTTACTGACGAAATTTATATTGCCGAGCACTGCTTCTAGAACGTTTCAGTAACGAAGGAATTAAACATGTATTATATTATTAGGGTCAGTCCTTGCATTATCATTATATTAACCTTCCACTGTCATTCTTATTGACTGCAGTTAACTGTTATGATGAACATGACAACAATGTAAATTTAGTCTCTGTCAGGCTATGATACTTTTTCCCATTACAGGGAGAAACGTTGACTTTCTATTATAATCTAATGTAGATCTACCGTACAGTATTTTTTTTATTCCATACCCTGGTAGCTAGGACTTTATATTTCTTCACACAGGAGAACTTTCGGGGGGTAAGAAAATGAGCAGTATTTCACACTGTCAATGGAAGCTTTTGTTTTGTTTAATACATGAGAAAAAAAATCATGTGTGTTCATTAAGCTCCTTGAATATCCTACTGATGTTCGTTATTCTCTTTTTTTCTCTTTCAGATGCAAAGAAATACCTGAGGATCTGCTATTATCCTTTTGGACAGTCACTTGAGCAGAGCTGGGAATCTACCTGAACCATCAAAGTCATGTTCAATTCTTCAGCCATATAAAAAGAAGAAGAAAAAAACTCAAGGGGACTGTAGTCCACGTCTGAAAACTTTGTGGTATGACACTCATACCAAACATAATTTTCTTGTGAGGGTACTGGTATTCAAAGAGTACTAGAATTAAATTCAAACCTTTTTTTTTTATTTTAAAGATAAGAAAGTTCAAAGTGGAGCCAGGAAAATGTCGGATTCTAATACAATGTCAACCCTTCAGAAAGCTGGGAATCTATTGATCTCCTTAATCTTTCGTATGACTGTCAAGCTGACTGTGGAGCTGCTGAAAATTGGCCTCATCCTTGTCATCTTAGTAGGGTTCTTTGCTGCTGTAATTTCCTTCGTTGCCGCTACAGTCTGGTGGGTGTACACTCGCTCTGATGGAAGCTTATCGGCTGCCATCTTGGCCTTGTGCTTGTCTGTCTTTGCAGTGTATGCTTTGGCCTATCTTACCCAGTTTGTGACACGTGATGTTCTTCACCTGACAAACATGTCGCTGCCTGGACTCATCGTCTTCTTATTCCGCTTGATATGGCACAAAAGGGGGTCTGCTGAGCAGAAACAGGAGGACAGTGGAATTGGTCTTTGTAATGCTCTCTTCGATGATAATGAAAACCAGGTGAGAAATAGTTTCAGAAGTAAATTGCATCCATAGAACTTATTTTCACATTTTGTTTCCAATAAAATAAAGGAAAGTGACATAGATCCACACACTTTCACATCACATATTACGATTGTACATCCTTGAAGAATTCACACTTACAAATGCGGAAAAGGGGGCTTCTTGCACAATATTAATATTATGACTGCGTCTACTCTCGTCCTCGAAAATGTATTAGAATTATAATACAGAGATACAATGTAGGTACATGAATAAAAAGACATCTTCTCCAATCAGCTGCTGGCCACATAAGAAAGTACATGTATCAATACAGAAACATGTTTACATGAGTTATATTTTTAATGTTTCTAATGTATAAAATTATGATTTTATAATTTTCTTGTGGCGTTGGTGGTCTCGTGGTTAGGCTGTTGGGCTTTCAACGGAAGGGTCTTTGGTTCAAACTCTGTCTCAAGGGCCCAACTTTTTGTCCTTGGGAATGGGTACCTGACCATAGACAACGAATTAATCAAATGTTCTTGTCAGTTTGTTAATGTGTGAACACTTAGGCACTTAATCAGTTGCACAGTATAATTTCTAGGAAGCCGAGAATGTTTGAGTGTTCTAAGGTCTGCTGGGGTAATAATATAAATCGGTGGTAAAGGGCATCAATTATTTTATTTTACATCATTTATTCTAATATGTGCAGGTTGTACAAGTAAGTCTTTATTCTCAATCTACAATACATATATATTCCTTTTTGTCTTTGTTTTTCTGAATATTGATTCGAAATGAACATTATTTTGCAGTGCAGTTCCATCATTTTTGCCACATGTACGGGATCTTACTCTGTGGAGTTAATGATCAAAACACAACTCCCGCTTTCATTGTCATGGTAGTTATCATTCAGCGACTTTATTCGTAACATTTTACTGTTTCTAAAATATTTTTAGTAAGTAGGCTACTGTTTCTTCAACATAAACATCAGTACATACAGCAATGATGCTGATAAAAATACAGGTAAATTGACTCAGATAAAGTTCACAGGGGCGAAGGCTGACTTGTTTGACAGGGTAATCAAAATGAGATGGGACCAGATAGGGCCTGGAGATATCACACTCACACAAGTCACAAGAATCTTGCTGGCACTGGAGGCGGCAACTCTTGAGTTGTGAATGAAAACAAATCCTGAATTAATTTTGTATGCATATTCAACCGCTAAAATAATCGGGAAAGTATTTCATTAAATATTTATTCTAATTAACCTTAAATTTAACTTTAGATTTGAACACACGAACACCAAGGAAAGAAGCAGAGATGTCAGTACTACAATGGCATGTTATACCAGACAGCCGAAACACTTTAGTAGAGCATGCCAATTATTAATTTTTTATTTCACATTTGGCTGGATTTTGTCTAGCTTTTCGCGGCCCGGAGCCGGTGTCATAATCGAGGTCACGATCTGATTATAGGACGTTAAAAAGTCGAGGAAAAAAAACAAGCATTCGCAGCAGTCAAGATATTATTAGGAGTTAGTTCCCCTCTCACCTGCGAGGTAGACTCCACCAGTGTATTAGTTAGCTTACATAATCAGCGGGTGTGGCTGCTTATAACTGTGGCTCGAAAGGGGTGAACAGGGTGTATGCGGCAATGGAACAGTTTTGACTGCTATGCACATGTTCCCTTCAACTCTATTGGTAGACTCTTCCAGCCTCACTTTAAGCTTACTTAATCAAAGCTTGTGACTGCTTATGGAGTGGCCCGATAGGGGCGAACAGGCTGTATCTGTGGCAATGAAACGGTTTTGAAGGTTAGGCATAGTCTATTGTTCATTGGTGATTATGAACGTCTTTTTCATTTAATTTATGAGGTTTACGTCTATGGGTGAATTTGACTGCGACAATGTTTCAAAATTAGGAAGGGAAGCAGTGATTATTTGATTATATAGACGCTTCGCCTCTGCTCAGATACAATGTTTTCCTGACTGATTGGAAATCAAAAGTTCATCAGATTATGAAATGCTCTTATCGTCTTTTTGTTCATCTGTTCTTCTGTGTAAAATGTTTATATATATTTATGATTTTTTTTGTCTGTGCACAATCACATAATGTTTATAGCCTTCTAAATTGTGTTGGGCCTAATTTTGAGTACTGTGTATGCATAAATAGCTATTTTCATAAATAAATATATATGTCAATGGAAAGAAAAGTAAGAAAACAGGAACTAAAGGAAAAGAAAAGAATGTAGGCCTATACCGGTACAATATTTTTCATTAATTTTTGTATTTGTACTTCTTTTTCAGGAGAAAAAGAGGAGGTGATGACAGATTCTTGGGAACCTCTCAGTCTGTGAGCTCTTGTGAACTGCATTGCCTTTCATGGCTGATGGTGTCCCTTTGAATTGTGATACTGAAACACATACACTTGGACCACCATCCGACAACTTATCATCCTGGAATGCCTTAGATCCTGCTTTTTTTTTTGTAGGACAAGGGATATATTTACTGCATGAAACTTCATTCTGAGACCTTAATTTTATGGGGCAAGCTTGATTAATGAATGTCTTGTCCTTGTGAATCGTTATCTAGCCAAATAATTCTTCAACAGTTTCAATAGACAGTCTGCCTGTGTGGTCAGTTGTGAAACCTTGCAGGGAAAAGGTGAAATATATTACTGTATGTGTGTGTATAATTTATAAAGGGGTTGCAATTTAGATACACTTCAATTGGATGATTGCAGTAGAATATGTTTAGGCAAATTAAATTTGTTAGTCCAGTGTTCAACTCTTTGTTCAGAAGTGTCTTCAGTTGTATAGTATGCAGATTACAGGAAGTATCTGTTTTATAAAGAAAGGTCAAAATCCCTTTCTTGGCTGTTCAACAGAGGGGGCAAATAGGTAAACCCCCTTCAGCAGATATTTTTCTCTCTTTGTTTCTCTCTTGTAAAGGCATGAGGTAATATTGAAACACTTCATAATGTGTTCAGTGGCAAAATTGTTTACCAAAAAAAATGCTGTTTTCTCTTTAGCCGTTTGATTTTGAATATTTTGAGTTGAAGTTGAATATCCAAAAATGTTAAGTTTGGGACGACATGAATGTATTCTTCCTGGGCAATACATATGTTTTTCTTTGAGTTGAGTCACTATACACTTCATAGACTTTTTTTTTCTCTTTCTATCAGAATATGCATGAACATCAAATATCCTGCTTCTGGATACTATTGAGTGGAAAGCAATTGTAAGGGGTTTTTTTTATTAGGGGCCTACAGTATAACCCGGTATGGTTGAACACAGAATACTCGAGATCACGCATCTGTCGAACTGTGCCTGTGGTCCTTTTTTTTTCTTTTTTCTTCTTTATCTTTGTAAGAAAATTACACGAAGCTCGAACACAAACACAGAATAGTCGAACTAATTACACCGCCATTGAGCTCTAAAGTCGATGTCCTTTGAGTTACACTAGAGACAAAATAGTAAAAATAAAAAACGGAGAAAGGCAAGGCTGGTAAAATACCCCCTCAGTCCCACACCCCTCCGCGGAAGCAGCTAGCTGTGTTCTTTTTAGTGCGCTACTCGACACGTGCCCTCTGTGTGTGTTTAGGTCCTAGGCCTAACTAGGCTTGTGTGGAGCGGGGGGGGGGGGGGGTTGTGCATCATACGATGGGCCGCCCAACCCCTCTTTGCAATTTGCAAAGGTGCACGCTTGGTGGGAGAGGCGGGGTAGGGCTGTATTGTCTCGCCATCGCGTTGTTGATTACTGTTGCGATATGCTAATCTTGTCAAATTGTTTATATTTTGAAAAATTTGAAAAGGCACCTTTCGATTGGTGCCGACCACTCACACTGACCCGCGCAATGTCTTGGTACCGGCAGGCTCATTACTCAAACTCGAATGTGTAGCTCATGGTGTTTCTCATTTTCAATCTCTCAATTTCAAATTCAAGTTAATAGACATAGACCTAACCTATCTGATCTAGGACAATGGCCGAAAAAAAAATCTCTGTTCCCACCAAGGAGCTTAGACCTAGATCTACTGTAAACTCCTTGGTTCCCACCCTATATGTTCTTACTACGATCTCTCTGACCGTCTAGTTCCCATCCTAGACGGTCAGAGTCAGAGATCGTATAAGAACGTATAGTTCCCACCCAATCTTTGTTGCTTCCCTTGATTCTCTGACACAACCGATGCCATAACACTGTTCACGGATCCCTCGAACTTCCGAGGCTGGTCCCGACAAATTCGCACTATCCGTGTTATACTGTTGGCTCTATAAAGAAGAAAGATTTCATGGTAATATAAATAGCAGTCAATCCTATTTGATTGCTATCTCAGTTGCAAATATAAAAGGATCAAACAAGTTCAACAATTCAAATACATATGTATCTGTCAGTACATCCTGTGCCAAATGTACCACAGAAATAAAACAAAAAATTGCTAAAGCTAAAGATAGTTTCTGTAAGATGACTCCAGTCCTGAAAAACAGAAATGTCTCAGTGACATCCAAATTATGAGTTTTAAAAGACTATATGTTGTTAATCCTTTTTACAGCTGTGAATACTGGACAATGGCACAGTAGAAGGCAAAAGTAGCTGGGGTAGACCAAGAACAAGGAGCCTAGAGTTGATTTTCAATTAGATCACTTGAACCGATGGATAATGCCATTAACGGGGGGAAAAGCTGGTCAATATAATACATAAATATGTTTTTTTGAGAGCATCGGACCAGAGTAATAAGTGACAAACCATGATCACTGATGTTTGTTTCAGATGTTTGTTTCACTCAATGTTGATCAAATACCACTCACTTGTTTATATATATATTTTATAATGTACGCATTGGAATTTTTTATCTACTTGCAATGACCAAATGTTTATGCTTCTGTTTTCTTCATGTTGTTACTTTAGCTGATATTGAGATGCCTTGTGTTTTTTGTTAATAATATTAGATCTATATCATTTATGAATATACTCACTCACAAGCCTTATTTTCTTGAAAGGCTTTCATGTTTCAGTTAGCTTAGTTGTTGCTTATTTTACAATATTTAAAAGTCTGATTTTTAACAAATTAAAAATTAAATTAAAGAGGACTGCTCATCAACATTAGCATTCTTCAGGCACTGTGGCTCATAATGCCTTGGTGTCATATTGAATACTTATTCAACGAGTTTTTACTCTTAGGTAAATATCAGGCCTCTGTCACTTTTCATGGCAAAGAGTCACTGTGTTAGTTAGGGTAAGCTTGACTTCTGGTTTTGTCCGTGAAATGGAAAATAGGGATTCTTTTTTACTTCCCCTTCATTCAATGATAAAAAGATGAGTAGTGAGCATCCATTGACATTGTGTATCATTCAATAATGTGCAAATCGCAGTCTTTGAAATGATTCAAACTTCAGATCTGCTTTGTTGTTGATAATGATAAATCTAGCTAGTTCAATGCTTCATTGGAATAGATGTATGTGTGTTTAATTGTGTCACGACATGATGGAGTTAGGCGCTCGTCAATCTTTGGGCATGTGCAGTTATTGGTATCATATGAAGAAAGCTTATTCATTTGTCTTGCTTTCAAAGAAAAGAATGAATTTCCATCTAACTGAAATAGAAATCTAGATATATTTGCGATTGAAGTAGATTGGGATGGCTTGGTTTCAAAGGTAAAATCAGCGAGAAAATGGTCACCAAAGTTTGATAACTTCAATAGTTTGGGAAGAGTCCTAAAAAACTGAAAATGTACATATTTGTTGCTTTAAATAATGTTTTTCTCTAAATTTCACATGAAATATAATTTTATAGGGACATAAAAGGTATTAAGCCAAAGAAAAAAAAAATCGATAAAAATTGCGAAACGTGTGGGAAAATACCTGTTTCTTCAATTTCATTATTTTGTCAATTTGACGAGTGCCTGATTTCACCACAATGTCTCACTTTACTAACAATTGCTCCTTCTTTTTGGCATCTACAAATGCCCTGTGGTTCAGTTGTTTTCCAGTTACTAGATAGAGCTGTCAAGAATTGTCTCCGATTATTTATGCTGATGTATCAACAGGAAATCTTGCTTTCATGCGGGGGAGGGGGGATAATGAGGATTGACTGTACATTTTTTCTAAACCTAATTAACTCCTACAAGTATAGTAAGTCAAACTCTTCATCTTTAGTAAAGATTTTTTGGTTTGAAATCTGTTTGAGAGCTAGAAGTTGTACATGTAGAAGTAGTTTGGCTTCTCTTTATAAATTTCAGTGATTGCAGTGTTATTTTGGACTTTTTGTTTGATTTGTTGTATTTTATTACATATACATTTTGTGAAGTACGACTTGGTAATCTGATTGAGCTTGGAATTTCTATCATATATGTATTTGATCTAGACCTTGTAGGCTTGTAGACTACTTGCCAAAACATTATACAGTGGAGTCCACTTATATATTGAGTCCTGAAACAACGAGAAGTCTATTATAAAGACACTATTCTAATACCCCGTTTTTTTCCGTCTTTATCTTTGTAAATAAAATACTGCTGTAGCGCAATCAGACAAACACGCGAGCGAGTCGGTTATAGTGGAATATTGGTGCTGCTGTGCACATCGCATAGGCCAGTTAATACATATATATATATATAGACCTCATCAGTTGAGAAACGTGTTTGTGATCTAGCGAAACCAAGGACCTTACCACTCCTTGAGCGAAACAAAGAATGGGAGAACCCACGTGTGCCAACAGTGAAGACCCGAGCGCATGGGTGGGGAGGGTGTGGCATGCGGAGACAAGCAGAACGCATCGCGTGATAGGCCAGCTTAGTCTAGATAACTAGATTATCTAGCTAGGGGGGGACAAGGCAGCGGCCGAGTTAGCCTAGAGCCCTTTATTTCTGATTGTCTACGCCGTGCTGTCAACATCGCAAGCGCTAGAGAAAGAAACCTGATTCGATTTTTTATCAAATAAGACCAAGAGGTCATGTTGAACAATATCATCACCAGGGAAGATAACAAAAAGAAATAAACAGAACACCAAACTCGTAGTTTAGACCTACTGTATTGTTTCCTTTGAATTTATTACTGGATCCCTTATAACGAGAATCCTGCACCGGTCCTTTGCTCCCTCTCATTATAACAGGATTCCATTGTATAATTATATTATGTATCTGGTAACACTTGTTACTGTTACAGTTTTACGACTCTTGGAACACAATGAAGCCATATATATATCTAGCATCTGCGTTTGTCGCGGCCGCGATTTTTTGCATTATTTGGTCCGCGAATCGCTGCAGCAACTTTAGCATTTTTCTGCAAAAAAAAATTACTTCGTAACATAGAAATTAGACGTGTATTTTGATAATTTTAAGGTGTGCATGTATATATATATATCTATATTTTCATGTGAACAATGTAGGTACATTACCTACTTTTATGCTGCTGTTTGTCTTTTATTTTTCCCTTTTCGTTGTGTCTTAATTTGTGTTCATATAGCGTAATGTCTTTCAATTTGAGGTTCTTCCTACATTAAAAAAAAAATATATAAATTTTGCTATGTTAGAGCGTGCCTCCACCAAAACCGAATACTGACACTGGCAGACCCCTTGTGTGTGATTCCATAATTTACATGTAATTCCTGTACTCTTTCTTGAATTACACACGTTTAGGGTTAAAACGGCCTATCTTCGGATGGGTGAACACACGCCTTTATTTGTTTATTTTTGTGATAGTTTATGTGCCATTCTAATTTTGATTTCATTCTGTTGTGAAACCTTTATTTTTTTACGTTTTACGCTCTGTGTGGCTACAAAATGGTAATCTGAATGCTTAAATCAGAGCACAAGAAATTATGGTGCTTTATATTAAATTACCTCATTCAACATATTGATATATTATGTCGTAACAGAGAGTTGAAAGTTTGAAAATTAATGGCAACTTTTATGGTAACTTTTGCCATTTTTTGTGGCAGCTTTTGGCAAGTTTTGGACAAAAAAATGGCAACAAATGCAAATGTTAGATATGTGCCGAAGATTAGAGGTCTTTCAGAAGTGTGTAACAAACACAAAGAAGAAGGAGAGATTAGGACGATATATATAATATTTTTGATAAGAAAGAAGAAGTATACCACATCAGAGCACTCGCCAACCACATGCATTATCTAACCCAACAAAATGTTGTATTTCAACATGCTTCTTAATTGACTTTGTTGAAAAGATAGGCAGTAGAAGTAGTAGTAGTAGTAGTAGTAGTAGTAGTAGTAGTAGTAGTAGTAGTAGTAGTGGTAGTAGTAGTGGTAGTGGTAGTAGTAGTAGTATAGATACAGTGTACAATGGGTTAATGCTTTTCAAATTTTATTGTTTTCATAATCAGTTTGTAAGATTGTTGGATACTGTGCAATAACTCCCTTTTATCAATATTGTATATTCTTGACTCACTCCACTTACCCTTCTCACTGACTTATTATTTTTACAAAGAAAACATAGGGACTGAAACGGGGCTGAGCCTTGTGTTCGACTTCAAAATACCCTAGAATTTGAGATTTTCCTGTTCGAGATTAGTAGACGGTACTGCATGTAGGTTTTTCATATTTTAATGTTTTGTTTTGTAAAGAAAGGTGCTTGTTTGTTTTGTATTTATTCTTTATTAATTTAAGAAATGAAAGTTTGTTTCTTCTTTAGCTTCAATTTTTAAAAATTATTACTAGATCTATTAATAATATTATAATATGAAGCGACTTTCAAATGACTTCATTCTTTGGTCAGATTATATAGTTATTGTTTTTTTTTACAGTTACACATTTTTTACATCTTTATACACATTTGTTTGAATTCAAAAGTCTGTAATTCATAAATATATATATATATTTATATATAGCCTATGCCTTATTATTAAATATTGTAGTTGCAGTACAGCAGTAAGGATGATCTTATCTCTAACAAATTACAGTGGAACTCAGATTCAACGAGAACTCGGATTCAACGAGATGAGATAGATTCCCCGTTATTTTTTCTTCTTTAAAATCAATAAAAATAAC